TTCCAGGGATCAACATCTGAGACATGGATGAAGGAAGAGAAATCTGAAAAAAAGACTGAAAAGGAGCAACCAGACTGATAGAAGGGAAATAACAGATTTGGGGAAACAAGGAGAGGAGTTCCAAAAAAAGAGGACACATCTGGCAGAGGCAAATACCACAGAGACATTAAGACAAAAACTGAGTTGGCAGGAAGGTAAATTTGTGCAGCCACTATGGGAAACAGTATAGCAGTTCCTCAAAAATTTAAAAATAGAACTACCATATGATCCAGCAATCCCACTCCTGAGTATTTAGCCAAAGAAAATGAAAACACTACCTTGAAAAGATATATGCACTCCCATGTTCACTGCAGCATTATTTAAGTAGCCAAGATATGGAAGCAACCTAAGGGTCCATCGGTAAATAAATGGATAAAGAAAATGTGATGGATAGACAGATAGACAATGGAATATTATTCAGCCATAAAAAATGAAATCTTGCCATTTGTGGCAACATAGATGGACCTCAAGGGCATTATGCTAAGTAAAATAAGTTAAAGAAAGACAAACACAGTACAATCTCACCTGTATGTGGAATCTAAAAAATAAAAAAGCCCACAGAACTCAGAGACACAGAGAATATATTGGTGGTTGCAAAAGACAGGAGTTTTAGTTTTTTGAGGAATCTCCATACTGTTTTCCATAATGGCTGCACCAGTTTGCATTCTACCAGCAGTGTATGAGGGTTTCCTTCTCTCCACACCCTGTCCAACACTTGTTATTTTTAGTCTTAGTGATTATAGTCATTTTAACAGGCATAAGGTGGTATCTTAGTGTAGCTTTGATTTGCATTTCCCTGATGATTAGTGATGTTAAACATCTTTTCATGTGTTTGTTGGTGATGGCCCTATTTTCTTAGTGAGATCATTTGCTGAGAGTGAGGCTAGAAATTTGGGGCAGGGATTTGAACATGGTTGAGGGAACTGCAGAAGGTGCTGGCTTGCCTCATGAAGAATGCAACTTGCTGCCAATTACTAAGGGAATCACCAAGGGCCCAGGTGTAGGCGGAGGCCACTCATTTACTTGGTGGCAGCAATGTGTGTGTGTGCGTGTGTTTGTGTGTAGGGGTGTGTGTGTTTTCTAGCAGTGCTCAGCCACCAGGGTATATACAGAATTTAAACAATCTGAATGGTTGGATCAAACCTTTTTGAGATTTTACTAGTTGAGTGAGATAGAAGAGTAAGCTCTACCGTTTATTGAGTGACCCTGGACATAGAAATTCATCCCTCTACATCTCAGTTTCCTTATCTATAAAATGAAGCTAAAAATAGTGCCTGTCTCACTGGGTTGTTGTGGGAATTAAATGAGATAGTACGGTGTTCTTCAGTTTTTTGACTGTGACCTTCAATAAGAAATATGGAGCCTATTGTAAGAAATAACTGAGTTACTATGAGTCTACTCATTACTAAATACTTACTAAAATATTATGAAAATATTTTCTAAAATATTTACTAAAATGTTATGAAATATTTGGGGACTTTGTTTCTAAATTCAGAATTTGGGAGATTTTAGGAAAGTAATATGATAACGGAACATATATTACATAACACCCCATCAGGGCTTGGAGAAGTATCCAAAATCAAACATTAATCTTTCCACAGACAAACTTATGAATATTCATACAAGCCATGCATGAAGTCTATAAATAGCCTCCCCTCACTTTCACATCAGGTTTTTGCCACCAAAGGAATTCAGGTCAGATTTTGCTTCCAATGTGTTTTTTAAAAAGTTTTTGTTGATGGTTTCCTTTGCTGTGCAGAAGCTTCTTAGTTTGATGTAGTCCCATTTGTTCATTTTTTCTTTCGTTTCCCTTGCCTGGTCAGACATGGCACTTGAAAATATGCTGCTAAGACTGATGTCGAAGAGTGTACTGCCTATGTTTACTTCTAGAAGTTTCGGGTCTTACATTCAAGTCTTTAATCCATTTTGAGTTGATTTTTGTGCATGGTGTAAGGGAATGGTCTACTTTCATTCTTTTGCATGTGGCTGTCCAGTTTTCCCAACACCGATTATTGACGAGACTCTCCTTTCTCCACTGTATACTCTTGGCTCCCTTGTCGAATATTAGCTGTCCATAAACGTGTGGGTTTACTTCTGGGCTCTTGATTCTGTTCCACTGATCTGTGTGTCTGTTTTTGTGCCAGTATCATGCTGTTTTGGTTACTATGGCTTTGTAGTATATTTTGAAATCAGGGAGTGTGATACCTCCAGCTTTGCTTTTTTTTCTCAGGAATCCTTTGGCTATTCGGGGTCTTTTGTTGTTCCATATAAATTTTAGGATTCTTAGTTCTATTTCTGTGAAAAATGCTGTTGGAACTTTGATAAGGATTGCATTGAATCTATAGATTTCTTTAGGAAATATGGACATTTTAATGATGTTAATTTATCCAATGCAACAGCATGGAATATCTTTCCATTTCTTTGTGTCTTCTGCGATTTCTTTCAACAATGTTTTATAGTTTTCGGTGTCCAGATCTTTCACCTCTTTGGCTAAGTTTATTCCTAGGTATTTTATTCTTTTTGTTGCAATTATAAATGGGATTGTATTCTTAATTTCTCTTTCTGCTACTTCATTGTTAGTGTATAGAAACACAACTGATTTTTGTACATTGATTTTGTATCCCGCGACTTGACTATATGCGTTTATTGTTTCTAAAAGTTTTTTAGTGGAATCGTTAGGGTTTTCTAGATATAAAATCATGTCATCTGCAAAGATTGACAGTTTCACTTCTTCTTTTCCAATGTAGATCCCTTTTATTTCTTTTTCTTGCCTGATTGCTCTGGCTAGGACTTCCAATACTATGTTAAATAAGAGTGGTGACAGTGGGCATCCTTATCTGGTTCCTGTTCTTAGAGGGATAGCTTTCAGTTTTTCTACATTCAGAATAATATTTGCTGTGGGTTTGTCATATATGGCCTTTATTATGTTGAGGTATTTTCCTTCTATACCCATTTTATTTAGAGTTTTTATCATAAATGGTTTGTAGTATATTTTGAAATCAGGGAGTGTGATACCTCCAGCTTTCTTCTTTTTTCTCAGGAATCCTTTGGCTATTTGGGGTCTTTTGTTGTTCTATATAAATTTTAGGATTCTTTGTTCTATTTCTGCGAAAAATGTTGTTGGAACTTTGATAGGGATTGCGTTGAATATATAGATTGCTTTAGGAAGTATGGACATTTTAACGATGTTAATTCTTCCAATCCAAGAGCACGGACTATCTTTCCATTTCTTTGAGGAAACCAACAACAAAACGAAAAGACAACCTAAGAATTGGGAGAAGATATTTGCAAACCATATATCAGATAAGGGGTTAATATCCAAAATATACAAAGAACTCATACAGCTCAACAATCCAATTAAAAAATGGGCAAAGGATCTGAACAGAGATTTCTCCAAAGAAGATATACGGACAGCCAACAGGCATATGAAAAGATGCTCAACATCATTAGCTATCAGGGAAATGCAAATCAAAACTACAATGAGGTATCACCTCAGTCCAGTCAGAATGGCTATAATTAACAAGACAGGAAACAACAAATGTTGGAGAGGATGTGGAGAGAAGGGAACCCTTGTACACTGCTGGTGGGAGTGCAAACTGGTGCAGCCACTATGGAAAGCAGTATGGAGTACCCTCAGAAAATTAAGATCTACCATATGATCCAGCTATCCCACTGCTGGGTATTTATCCAAAGAACTTGAAAACACAAAGGCATAAAAATACTTGCCCCGCTATGTTCACTGCAGCACTATACACAATAGCCAAGACTTGGAAGCAACCTTGGTGCCCCTCAAGGAAGGAATGGATAAAGAAGATGTGGTATTTATACACAATGGAATACTACTCAGACATAAGAAATGATGAAATCTGGACATTTGTGACAACATGGATGGAGCTTGAGAGTATTATGCTGAGTGAAATAAGTCAGAGGGAGAAAGTCAAATACCACATGATCTCACTCATAAGTAGAAGATAAAAACAACGACAAAAAAACACATAGCAATGGAGATTGGACTGGTGGTTACCATAGGGAAAGGGGGGAGGGCAAAAGGGGTGATTAGGCTCACGTGTGAGGGGATGGACTGTAATTAGTTTTTGGGTGGTGAACATGATGTAATCTACACAGAATTTGAAATATATTGATGTACATATGAAAGCTATATAATGTTATAATCCAATGTTATTGCAATTAAAAATAAATAAATAAATAAATAAAAGTTTTTGTATTTTCAGACCTTTTTGGATTTTGGAATTGTTGATATGAAATTGAAGGTATAGATGCAGATATAATCTTTTTTAAAGTGCTTGGCACATAATAAGTATTGGTTACAATTGTTGGTATGGTATATTTCATTTTAAAAATGATGGCCCTACCCCACTAAAGGGATTTCATGACATACTAACAGGTTGTGACCCACACTCTGAAAAATGCTAATATCTAAATGCTTAGCCTGGTCCCTGCTACATACTAAGTTGTCAACACATGGCAGAAGGAAAAAACCACCATCTTATATTCTTATAATGTTTTAACTTTGCAGAATTCTTTTAAGCACATAGTTGCTATTCATCTTCACAGTAACTGTATCAGAAATAAACTAAAGGGTTTAACTTTCCTCTTGACCTACTGAGAATTTCATGTCTCAGTGGTGTTATGATGAACAGTAGGAAATTTAAATAATGATAATCACATCTTCCTATGGCATTTATACCTTGACACTTACAGCTCTTTTAAAGTTTTCTTTAATTATTTTATGTGAAATAGATCATTTTATTGCACAAACAGAAAAAAGAGATCAAGCCATTTGTCTTACGTAACAAAACACTATTTCTATACAGAATTTGTCCAATAAAATATATAGCTTAGGAACAACTTCCAAAACATATTTATTATTCCGTTCTTAAAGTAAGCTAAAGACATGCTTCTCTGAAGTCACTTTATAATCCTAGTGTTTTACTTTCTAGTGCTCTGGGAGACATTAAAATAGCTGAAGTGAATGTCAAGGGTTTATTCGTGAAGCTCATTAACTCTTCCCTTGACAAAGAACTGGAGATTGGAGATCATATTCTCCAGCAAAATGTGAATGGACAAATAATCTGTTTGTACCGATTCCTTCCAAATATCATAATGCAAGCCAACTCCACAGTAACGGTGAGTAGGGTAGAAATACTGTGACCTAGAATCGTGCGGGAAGAGCTCATTTACCCAGACAGGCTGCAGCTCAGCACCAGTGGTCTCACCATTATGCAATCTCTGTGGCAAAGGTGATATTTTGTTGGTGATGGTTAATGGTGCCACTTTGTCCATCTTTGGATTTAAATTAATAACCATAATTAAATTTCCATAGCTTTCTTCAATTTAGTGTATGATACCTTTTCTCTTCATGATTTAACTATTAAAATGAAATACCTAAGCTCCTAAAACTAAGCAAACATAATCCTTAAAAGAAAAGAAAAGGGATTGTTTGCTTCAAGAACAGGTAATTAGTTGACCCTGGAGGGTTTCCCCTCTTTCTTGTACTCTTTTAAATCATGGACAGTAGCTGTTTAGTGTTACACAGCTTGACATTATATATTATACAGTTACTATATTTTAAAACCCACCTGTTCAGAAAGATACATTACAATAATCCTCTGACATTTACAAAAGTATGCTGAACTCCAGTGGCATTGTCATTAACTATTTTCTTACAGGTGTGGGCAGCAGCATCTGAAGCAAAGCATCAGCCACCAGCAGATTTTCTTTGGAAGGAACAAAACAAGTTCAAAACAAGCCCGAACTGTACAACAATCCTGTGCAAACCTAATGGGGAAGTCAGTGTCCAGCTCTTAACAACAGGCTTTAAAAGAATGGATAGCTCTCCTATGGCCCCCCTCTCCTCTTAGCTCACTCAATTATTTTTCCCTCCTTAAAAGCTTGGATAGAATCCTCACTAACTGTCCTAACACATCAGGCAAATCTACAGCATCCTCTTCCCAGTGCCAAAGTGCCAAAGAGCGGTTTACTATTCAGCAAAAATAATTTTGATATCCCATATTTCTAAGAAGTTATTTCAAATTTCAGGGTCGAGGATGGATTTTATTTATGGTATTTAACCTGAAGAGCAGGATGAGAAAGAAAGGAACTACATACAGCCTTTTCTTTTCATTTACTCATTTCTCAAATGTTGTTGCGATTCTCCTCTATTGCAAGGGCTGTAATAAGTGTTGGGAATATAACATAGAGTAAGACATGATATCTGCTCTCGAGGGACTAATATTCTAATGAAAGAAGCTTCATTCTAATTCATAGTGACTATACTTTACTCACTGTAAAATTAAATGTTAGTAATTACGTTGTGTAACTCATTCCTAATATTTGACAATTTTGTATTTTCACTCTACTTTTTTCTCGGTATAATATTAGCATAATATATACCCAGTGACATACCGATTTAAAGGTATCTCTTTTTACAACAAAAAAGTTGCACCCTTGCCAGAACCATTCTTTAGATTTTTCTTAACTATCTGCCTTTTTTCTCAGTCTAACTTAGTATGTCATAAAACCACTAATCCAGACAATATGTCAATCGGAATCTATTCCCAAGTTTCTTTCCTGCTCCCTTATACCTGATGCTTAGATTGACTATTCCTTTAGAATTGACTTGCTAATTTATTAACAGCCATTTAATGTCTTTCTGTGAGAACAAGAAGTTGTGGCTAGATGGAGAGAATATTTACTAGATGTAATTTTGCAGCCTTCACTCACTTACCCTTAGATATTTTTGTGGGCTCACATTGAATTTTATAACACTTCAGATAATTTTCACTGAGGAGGAATATAAGGCTATGCAATCTAAGTTATTTACTCAGCCTCATTAAAAAAAACCACTAGCAAAACCCAGATTGGAAGGAAGGCATTCTGGTTTCAGATCTTTCATCACATTTACCCACCCATTTATCCACTCTGCAAACACGTTCGTGGTGTCTACTTTGTATGCACTCTGTTCCAAGCACTGAGTGTTGAACCAGACAGACCAGGTCCCTAAGCTCCTAGAATGAACATTTTAGTAAACTGTCATTTCCTGCAACTGAATTAGGCTTTGTACTTAGACTGCTCCTTGTACTAAGTGGTTTGAACTACTTTGCCATATAGGATCAGACCATTTCTGCTGGGTGATGGAAACACAAATAATGTTGTTTGCTAGTGAGTGAGCCTGATTGATTCATACGGAAAATACGTACATATATTTAGTATCTGCCAAGCACTGTGCTAGGTGCTGGAGGAAAGAGCATAACTATTGCATGATTTTTGTCCTCCAGAAACTCAGAGTCTCGTCATAGAAACTGATATGTAACAATAAATAATTGCAGTACAGTGCAACAATGCTTGAATAGAAGCATGTACACAGAGCAGAGCAGCCAGGCTAGAGATGCCAATTTTGTAAAGGAGAATATCAAGAAAAGCATTAGAGGAGAAAACACTTGTTCAGAGTCTGCAGCAGGATGAGAGGGAGCTCACCCAGTTGACCTGAACCATAGTGGTCTTCCCCCTTTCCTCTCTGCTAACTCACCACTTCCTATGCTTCTCCATACTCTCATCTCTAACCACACTGGGCTTCTTTACTTGTTTTACTATCCAGTACTTGATTGTTTTCTCAAGCCACAGGGCCTTTGCACATGTTCTTGCCTCTCCACAGACTCTCTCTCCTCACCTTTTTACCTATTAAATCCTACTCACCTTTCAGACCTCAGCCCAAGCCTTTTTTTTCAGGTCACACCCTACTGGAATTTCCACCTCATGGAAAAACAATCAGAATTACTTAATTCAAATAGAAAATATTTCCATTAAATACACTGAAATGTGACTTTAAGTCAACCTAAAACCATAATGCAAGCATAGAATTCTGATTTCTTTTTTTAACAAATTCATTTCTGTTCTTACCTCAATAATACTGGATCACACTATCTGCAATTGCTAGATGAATTTTCCTTGAAAAGATAGGTTGCTACATTCCCATAGACATGTTGACATACACACAGACCCAAGGCTTCATCATGACCCTGGACTCGCTTTCTGTTTGTGCAATTTGTATACAGAAAATAACCCATATCTCATGGAAAAAGTGACGGAGCCTGCAATCTTCTGCCTAAAATAATAGACAACCATACAGATTAGAATAGCTCCTGTTTCTGGACTAGAAAAATACTTTTTTTAAAACGTGGCAAACAGAAGTCACATTATGGGTCATCAAAAAAAAAAAAAAAAACCCTAACATAGAATATGACAGACTACTCTTTTGAGTTATCACTAACATGGCAACAGTTAATATTCAATACAGCTACAAATCTCATGGTGTAAGAGAAGGGCAGATTTAGTCCTGCTGTGCCATGAGTTAACTATGCAATATTTATTCTATTTTCTAATATGTAATAGAGAAAATACAGTATAGTCACTAAGAGTCTATGAGTCTATATATTTTTACATAGGACTACATTTTTTTCACCAGTCACATTGTTGTCCTATAGGATTTGTAGCCTCTATATTATACGTCAAAAAATTAATAGGCATCTTATATTTATTCAACACCTGGTACTTTCCCAATACATTGTTAGAGATTCAGATACAGAACAGACCTCTTCTATGCTGTGGGAGCTCATTGAAGGGCTATTTATACGTACATTATCTCATTTGAGTCAGTATTGTTTAAGCATATTTTACAAAGGAAGAAAATGGCAGGGCCAGCCCCATGGCCAAGTGGTTAAGTTAGCACCCTCTGCTTTGGCAGCCCAGCGTGTCACCAGTTCAGATCTTGGGCACAGACCTAGCATGACTCATCAGGCCATGCTGAGGTGGCGTCCGACACAGCACAACCAGAAGGACCTGCAACTAGAATATACAACTATGTACTGGGGGGCTTTGGGGAGAAGAAGAAGGGGGGAAAAAAAAGAAGATTGGCAACAGATGTTAGCTCAGGTGCCAATCTTAAAAAAGAAAAAGGAAAATGGAGCTTGGGAAGTTAAATGGCTTGCTCTAAGTCACATGACTAGTAAAATGGCAGAAATAAAATGAAACCAGATATTCTAACTCCAAGAATTTTTCTATTGTCTGTTTTACTAAAGACAAGGTTCATGTGGCCAACATTCCAGAGGTAAAATTAAAACCATATCATTTTGTTTTGTCACATTATCATTGTCATTGTCATCAAATATTTTTAAGGCCCTATAATACAGGGAGAGATAAAATATTGCTCTTGTCTAGGAAAGGGTTACAATCTAATCGAGGGAGATTGTAATAAAAAGATCATGAACATGTTTTCAAAACAAATGTCTATATCTGAGCTGCTAAAAGAGGAGAATCCCTAACTTATGATCTGAAGCAAAAGTGGGGTTTTCCTACTGTGATCCATGAAACTGAACTTTATTTTTTAAGATTTCATCTTTATTTTTTAAGATTTCATCTTTCTTCTGCCGTGGGTCTAGCCCAGCTGAACTTGCCTTGAGTTGCCTTTCTGTCTATGTAATCTGTCTTGCCAAGCAGAGGGTTTTCCAATGATTACAGCACAAACCCCAAACCTCTAATTTTATAAACTAAAAACAGATCACAAAAACAAGTGGAACGTTAGGCCACACTTTGGTGCTTAATTTCCTCATGTTGAACAAAGACATAATTGTTAGTCCCTAAGCATGATTTTCCTGAATAATTTTTGCATATATATGTTGTGTACATGCCACATATTCAAGAAACCAAAACAAACCCTAGTTTCAGTGTTCTCCTTAAGAGTCCCATCTAGGATTCTAGCCTGGAGAACGTGGTTTCCTCTCCATGTCGCTAGTTCTATGGCCCATTTCCCCATCTCAAATGAGATATACATATACATATAGTGTGTTAAATATTTAAAATTTGAACTTATTCATATTACCCTACTTTTTGTGCAGCTCCTTATAGTTATGAAATTCCGTAACTTAACTGAATCTCACAACACCCTCGTACAGCAATTCCCCACTCCCACCCTTCCCATTTTCCATATGAGGACAATCCAAGCCAGTAAGTGACTAACCCCCCTTGGAAACTAAGACCAGGTTGTCTAACTACATCCTCATTGTGTGTTTCACTAATCCATACACAGTAGATGTGACTTTGAAGTTTGGAGTTTGACTTTGAAGTTTTCTTTGCAATAAACCTATGACATTTAAAAAATCTATCTAACTCCAATACTATTTGAAATTAATGAATCGTCTTTGTTAGGCTGTTGCCTGGTACACTCCTATTCACTGGAAGCAAGCGTGGGAGAAATTAGAGACCGACATTGAATTTGACAGATGCTCAATAGTAAGTCCAGCATCTCGAAGGCATTTGTTCCACTGGCCAGAAGTTCCAAGTACAACTGAAGAAAAACAAGATCAATCTAAGAAAGACATCTCAAAATGTCATATGGAACCAGTACAAGCTTTTCTTAAGAGGTAAAAGTTGATTGCTTTGTCTTTTGGTAGTTGAAACTTTCCCGCAATTAGTAACTGAGTAGATAGAAATGACTGCATGACAAGTAGATATGTGATGAATAGAGAAATTAATAATAACCCAAAAAATCCTATTTGGAAGAGGACCATAAAATCTGTAATATACTCATAAGCAGAGATATACTCATGGGACAATAAATGTTGGTGATTTCTGCTGGGTGATATTGGGACCCCTTTTGTCATTTCACATCTCAATGGCACTGCTGTTAGAGGCAAGGCCGTGGAGACATGAAGAGACGAAGTTATCACTGTGTCTTTCGCAGTGCTTAGCTGAAGGGAGAAGTGCGGCATCTAGGGATTTCATCTTGGATCAATTGCTGGTTGTGGCTGAAGGTGCAGAATTTATGTCATTCATGTGTAGGCAAATGCTTCAGATGTTGTGATAAAAGCACTGCCCACGAGGTCTAGAAAAGCCACGTTCTCTGGTCTTGAAACATGCTTTCAGTTTAATTGAGCCTCCCTTACTGATGCCACTGCATAAAATGCCTTATGGGTTCAATTTGAGCTTAATTTTTCTTTTACAGAGAAAAGGAAATCCCACCAACCCTTTTCCCCAATCGCAGCCCTTGGTGCCACAGTCCCGATGTCCCTGCACACCCCTACTGTTCTCTTATTGAACCTCACATTACCAGCATGGCTGGAAGCAGCTTAGATAGACAGCCCAGGCCTCAGTCAGCCAGGCCTAATCCAGCACAGGTAAGTCAAAGAGATACTCATTCCAGTGGAAAGTAAGGTGCATGTGTGGATGTGTGTTGAGGACTGGTGAAAAGGTGTTAGACGGTAAAATTTGCTACGTACTAAAAACTATTCATATCCTCAAGGATAGATGGCTCCCAAAGCAAGTATTATAAGTCATTCACTTACGTTTGCTCTGCACAGTGTCTTTTATTGGTCTTGATAAATATGTGTTGAATGAATCAATGAATCAAAAGAACACTGTGGACCACAAAAGAATGTTGGATTCTTGAAGTTTGGTCAAAAGTACATTTTGTTTTTTCACTAGGCAGGAAAAATTGGCCCTACAAGTTATGCTGTGCTAAAAAAAATCCATCTTTTCCAGACATTCAAATGTTAATCCCAAATTCTTATTCTTTTTCAACCAGAAGTTTCTTATTTAAGTCCTCTAAACAAAGCTTTTAGAGGTGGTGTTATTAACCCAACATCTATGAATGGATTTCAGGAAGTCCATATATACGCAAAATTTGGGGCAAAAATGTATGCCTCTATGATGTTTTCTGGGAAGAGAGTCCATGAGGTTCATCAGATGCCCCCAAATGTTTAAGAACTGATTAGAAGACCACAATGCCAGATCCTAAGCTGTGGAGAAAGTCTGTTTCATATAACAGTTATATCCTGGCGAAGTTATAATGATTTGCAAACTTTTATTTAGCAGAGAGATGCCTTTATAAATGAAATCTTGGGCAGAATCTCAATATGTTAAATGGATGAAAGCAAACCTGTCCAAGATGAAGAGAAGGTAGCCATCCCCACTCCCCATTACCCCCTTCTTTTTCTTCCCTCCTTCCCTGTGATCTTTAGGCACTTCTCTGGAACCACAGGATTCTGTACACAACAGTATGAAAACAACTGTGTTCGTATGCTAACACATCAGTGGGAAATAGTACCCTCAAAATAATATCTTTTAGAAGTAGAATGTTTGAAATTTTGTAAATTCCTAAATATATTCCATTTCATGAAATTGAGTACCCCATATCTTTGTGCCTGAGAGTCCTCACCTGTAAAGTAAGAGATTTGGGTCTGAAATTTAGAGTTCTTTCAGAAATGTTTTATATACAAAATAAATATAAAAATTATATATAATTTTATTATATAATATATATTATATTAATGTATTCTTTATATATATATATATACACACACACACATACCCTTAGTACTTTATGACTTAGATTTGAGACTCTCAAGATGTACATTAATTTATGTTTTTCTCCAATTAGTGGTAGCCTTCACTATTTTACTCATTCTGAACAACTTGTTTCCAAAGAAATTTGACTTTGAATTTTCTTGATATACCTTTCTAGAGTAATGACAATTCACCTTACTTATTCAAAAATTTTTGCTATTCAACACAAAACATTTCACTATATGTATATTTTGTAATGGTAATTGAAAAAGATAGTTGCTTTGATGCCTTTAGGGCCTCTGCTCATCCTTATGTATCTTTTTAATTTTCTATTCATTGAATTTTCAATGTGAACGCACATACATCAGAATTGTGAGAGCTTTTCTTTGATTTCAATCACAAAAGACGGCCGCAGAGAGACAGATGTTATGAATGATTGGCGGATGACTGACTGGATAACACCAATCTCTGAATCGCCAGTTCATTTCCTTGAAAGAATATGTAACATGATTCTTCAAGGGAAAGTTACCTAGCTAATGATCCAATTTCTTTTTAATTTGCTTCCCATTGGATTATTTGCTATCATTAGAACACTCAATAATTCACAAAGAAAAAGAGATAAACCAAAAATTCATCAATTTTACTCATAGTTTCTTCAATCCTGCTCCTTTCCCCCTACACTAATAAACAAGCTAGTCTGCTGAGTTACAGAAGAAAGAATCTTAGTGGCATACGACTCTTTGATCTGGGAATAGTTGTCTTTTTTTTTTTTTTTTTAAGATTTTTTTTATTTTTTTTCCTTTTTTCTCCCCAAAGCCCCCTGGTACATAGCTGTATATTCTTCGTTGTGGGTCCTTCTAGTTGTGGCATGTGGGACGCTGCCTCAGCGTGGTCTGATGAGCAGTGTCATGTCCGCGCCCAGGATTCGAACCAACGAAACACTGGGCCGCCTGCAGCGGAGCGCGCGAACTTAACCACTCGGCCACGGGGCCAGCCCCTAGTTGTCTTGTTTTTAACTATGCCTCCCAAATATGTTATAGACGAGCCTAGAGACTAACAATTAAGGTGATTTTAAAGAGACATCTACACATCACATTTATACCAAGCACATTTTGTTTTTTAAAACACGTTAAAATACAGAAAGTATAGGGGCCGGCCAGCAGCGCAGCGGTTACGTTCGCACGTTCCCCTTCATCAGCCCAGGGCTCACCACTTCAGGTCCCAGGTGCAGACCTATGCACTGCTTGTCAAGCCATGCTGTGGCTGGAGTCCCACATATAGAGGAAGATGGGCATGGATGTTAGCTCAGGGCCAGTCTTCCTCAGCAAAAAAGAGGAGGATTAGCAGCTGATGTTAGCTCAGGGCTAATCTTCCTCAAAAAAAAAAATAAAATAAAATACAGAAAGTTTCGAAGATAATGTTAAAAGCACCCACATACTAATCATTCAAGATTAATGCATGTTAACATTTTGTCATATTGCTTCACATTACAAAGAAAAGCCCCATAAATTCAAAATTTCCTTTGATCTTCTCTCCAGTTCTGATATGAAATTGGAATAAGTCACTCTGGTTCTCATTTTTATATTTTAATTACACATATATGGATCCATAAAGAATAAATAGTATAATTGGTGTGTTTTTAATTTACACAAGTGGCACTAAGCACAATGCAAGACACATAATAGTTGTTTAGTGTTTGACAAAGGACAGACAGAAAAGGAAACACTGAAGGTTTTTAAGCAGGCTTCTTATAGAGTTAGATCTGTGTCTTAAAGAGAATTTTGGAAGCAATGTTGAAAATGAAGTGAAATGAAAAATACATCAAAACCTAGGAGGAAAGAAGGAAGGAAGGAAAGAGTAGGAGATGGGAAAAAAAGGAAAAAAAGAACAAAGCAGGTTAGAAAAACAGACCGGGGCAAGTAGGTCTTGTAGAGCTGTATTTGAGTCCCAAACGGACAGGAGAGAAAGACTGGGGCAGAAGTAACATTTAAAGAAATAATAATAAAAATTCTCAAAAATTGATGAAAGACATCAAGCCACAGAATCAAGAAGAATAAATCCCAAGCAATTCAAATTCAAAGGAAACCACAACTATGTACATTATAATAAAAGTTCAGAAAGCCAAATAATGGAAATCGGAAGACAATGAAATGATATCTTCAGTATGCTAATGTGCTAACAGAACTACCATCTTAGAGTTCTATACCAAGCAAAAATACACTTCAAAAAGTGAAAGTGAAGTAGAGATATTTTCAGGCAAACAAAAACGGAGAGAATTCATCAACAGCAAACCCACAATAAGGAAATACTTCAAGTAGAAAGAAAATCATCCTAGGAGGATGCACAGAGTTGTAGGAAGAAGTGAAGAAAAATGCACTCAAAACATGGATAAACATAAATGAATATTCATGATATAAAACAATACTAATATTGTCTTGTACAGTTGTAAATTTATATAGAATTTAAATAGAGGACAACTGTGTTAGTTTCCCAGAGCTACTGTAACAAAGTACCATAAACTTAGAGGCTTAAAACAACAGAAATGTATTCTCTCACAGTTGTGGAGACTAGAAATCTGAGATCAAGGTGTCAGCAGGGCCACACTCTCTTTCAAGTTTCTAGTGGATTACCCTTCCTTGCCTCTTCCCAGCTTCTAGTGGTTGCCTGCATTCCTGGGTGTTCATTGGCTTGTAGATGCATCACTTTAATCTCTGCCCCCATCTTCACATGGCCTTCTCTCCTGTTATCTGTGTCCATATTTCTCTCTTCTTATAAGGACACCTGTCATTGAATTAGGGCCCACTCTAGTCTAGTATGACCTCATCTTAACTTGATTACATCTGCAAAGACTAAATTTCCAAATAAGGTCATATTCACAAGTTCAAGGAGCTAGGACTTCAACAAATATTTCAGGGTGACACAATTTAATCCATAACAACAGCAATAGCACAAAAGTTGTGGAGGAGTAAAGGGAGTTAAAGTACTCTAAATTCCAAGATTTGTCCAACATGTTCTAAAAGTAACAATTTATATTAGACTCTAGTAAATCAAGAATGTATGTTGGAATCTAAGATAGACACTAAAAGAATAGTATATGAATGTCATGCTCATGACATGACATAATGTCTTACTTCCATTATCATCCTGTAAAAATATATGCTAATTTTCAATGTGGTCTTCTTTGATACATGGGTTATTTGGGGATAATATATCACAAACAAAGTGGGTTTATTTCAGGAATGCAAAGATAGTTCAAGCTTTGAAAATTAATCAGTTAAACTTATCATCTTGACAGAATAAAGAGGAAAATTATATAACCATCTTAATAGATGCAGAAAAAGCATTTGATAAAATTCAATACCCACACATAAATAGGGAACCTTAGGAAATTAGGGTTAGAATTTCCTTAATCTTACAAATGGTATCTACAAAAATCCTAAAGCAAACTATCATGCTTAATGGTGAAGTAATAGAAGTTTTCCCTTGAGATCCAGCTCAAGACAAGAATTCTCTTTATGATGACTTCTACCCAGCATAGCATTGTACTAGAAGTCTGAGTGCAATAAGGCAAGAAAAATGAATATACAAATACCCCATTATCCCATAATCCAGCAATTTCATTTTCAGGAATTATATATATACACGTATGGCTAATAAATACATATGTGCACCAAAAGACAAATACGATAACGATCATAGCAACTGTATTTGTAATAGCCAAAAATTAGAAGCAATCCAATTGTTCATCAACAACATAATGGATAAATAAATTATGATATGTTAGTACAATCCCATAGGCAAGGAAAATGAATGAACTACTGCAACATTCAATTACGTCAATGAATCTCATAAGCATAATATTGAGCAAAGGATGCCAGACAAAAAGGAATGCATATTGTATGATTCCATTTATATAAAATTCAAAAACATACAAAACAAAACCATGGTGTTAAAGGTCACAACAGTAGTTATCTTGGGGAGAAGGAATGGAGTAGTACTTGGAAGTTACACAAAAACTCTTTCTAGAATACTAACAATGTTCCGTTTCTTGATCTGAACGGTGTTTATATGAATCACTGTTTTCACCACGTTGTGCAATTATGACTTACGAACTTTTATGTGTGTATGTTATACTTACATAAAAGTTTATTTTTAGGAACTCGATGACAAAAAATAGGAAAACTAGGAAGGGAAGAAAGCACAGTTAGAGTAATTAGCACTAATAGCTTATACCTTGACAAAGAAGGAGAAAGAAAACCTAAAAAAATAAATTGATGAACTAACAACAAGTATTAATAATATGAGGTTTACAGTGTGGGAGAAAAATAGTATTATCTGAAATAAGTCTAAGCCTATCATTATATTGTAATTTATCGGGAATTAATTTTAATATAGTTCATTGTAGCTCAATCATTTCCAGGAGCATCTCATGGCAGAGATGGTTAATTACTGGCCCCCAAAACTATTGTTCCCTTAGGTCCAGGGAAATCTAGATACATGGCCACCAAGAATGAAGCCTATTTTTCTCAGTCTCTGCTGCAGCTAGATGGGACCACGTGTCTACATGCAGTAATAGAACATGCACAGAAATTGTGTATCCAACACCTGGATCATGCCCTTGGAGCGTGCGCTACCTTGTGTCTCCTTCCAGCCATAACAGGGCTGGAGCTGGCATCTTTCAACTCCGAGATGAAGCCAAACGTTGAGGATGGGAAAGCCATCCTAAACGCCTTGTATTGGCACATCTCCAGACTGTTGAGAGAGAAATAATCTTGTTCAAGCTTTTGTTAAGTTGTGTTTGAACCAGATGGCCCACACAGGATCATTACCATTTAGCTTCACTTAACAGGCTACTGGTTAAAAAGAAAACAAAAATCTCAGCTAGAAAGGGCATTTTAAAGACAATTCCATAAATTTGAATATAGAATGAATATTAGATATTGAGGAGCCATTGTTCTTTTCTTATTCATTATTGTGCTGTGGTTATAGATTCGTATAGAAATCTTTACTTAATTTCTAATGGTTTGGTGATATAGGCATAGATAGATAACACAAATATGGCAAAATACTAATTCTTGAATCTGGGTGATAGGTATACAGATTTGGTTGTATTATTCTTTCATATTTTCTATATGTTTGAAACTTTTCACAATAAAAATTTGAAAAAATAAAATCAACAAGAAAGACATTTTTGATAGAATGTAGCATGCACTTGGAGCTGTTAAAGCAGAGAGGCAAGGCACCGACCACAGCCTAAAGAGTAGCTCTTGGGAAGGCTAAAGACGGTTAGCAAAGCAGATGCGTTTGCCTTGTGTTGCCACTGTTGTTCACAGACCTGGAGAGAATGTGCTTTCCTCTTGCTGTGATTAGCTTACAGATTGTGGACAATTTTGTCATTCTTCTTCTGCAACTCAAGTTCAATAGCAGAAACTAGTTTGAAGATAGTATCCTGCAGACATTGTTTTAAGCTAACAGTGCAGGTGTGTACGCTATTTAATGCACTTTATTTGCACACTGTCTAATACACTTTGCCTATCATCTGTGATCCATGTTGCACTCAAAGGGGGATTCATTTTAATTGTGGATTCTATAGCTGCTACTGTCTTCCATATGTTATTATAGTAATAATAATAATAACGTCCCTTCGTTTCTGGGGGTTGCAAAGCTACACTACAAAAGCCAATCTTTCAGAAAATAAATGAAACTAGAACATAGATAACATTAGGCACATGTGTGTGGTGATGGATTGTAATTAGTCTTTGGGTAGTGAACATGATGTAATCTACACAGAAATCAAAATATATAACAATGTACACCTGAAATTTATATAATGTTATAAACCAATGTTACCGCAATTTAAAAAAAACTAATAATAATAATCTTGTCATTAAATTTCAAGAAATTATAGATGGGAATTTTTTATAAATGATTTCCTCATTTAGTAAATACAGTAAGTTTAGTAATGTCCCGTTTACTAAAATACTGTACTTTGCTGAAAAACAAGCTTTCAGGGTGCAATTCAAAACCTTCATCCTCAGATTAGTCAGTCTGGAAGAACATACATAAAATATTTACACGGTCTCTTTCATGCCAACAAATTGCTCCAGAAGATGAGAAGTGATGAGCTAGATTCTTCTTATATCTAAACCACTGCCTATGGTAAGGAAACTATCTTAAAAGCCTATTTATATTCCAGGTTCATAACTTACTATTCAGAAAGTTTACACTGTGATGTGTGATTCACTGGATTCAGAAACCTATTAGTGGCTAAGAGAATCATTGTGTTAACCAGAAACACCCTGCATTTTTGTTAATCTTCATTGCAGATCACATTTTCACATCCAGCCCCTAGATAGTGTTTCTTTGTAATCAAATGCTGGCAATTTAACTTGATAATTCTTCTTCTGAGCTTGCAGAGAAAAAGAAAGGGTTAGGTATGATGGAGGAGCTTTTCCTGTAGCTGTTTTTTCCAGAAGAGCTCCTTGTTATCTGTGCCTAAAACATAATTTTGATTTCTGATCTTTTATTTTACAGTGACGAAATAACATCTCATCCCTGGGCTAGAAGTAACCTGTATTTGGGATCACTCAATTCATCCCTATTTCAATTTGAAAACACTAGTTTCCTATTTAGAAATTATATTTAAACAAAGTGACTTTCAATCCTTGCTCAAGTGTATGGAAGTGAGGGAGGCCACCATGCCTGTCACCTCATTCATCACCAGGGTGGAGTTGGCTAAAATGGCAGCTAGGGAGCATCTGCTTCTGTCCACACATCTCGTCCATCCCTCCCAATGCAGCCTGATTCCTGTACCTCCCTCCACCAGCTACTTCATCATTAGGGCAGCTGAAAGTGTGGAAAGCAGAAAGCATTTGAGGAATTTTACAGGCTGGTAAAATTCCTCTGCAACCTCAGTTTTTAAATATATATCTTCCAGATGGATATTTCCTCGCTCAAAGTCTTGATTAATTATGTCTTGAAATATATGCTTCCTTTTAAAATGATTCATTGAAAACTTGGACTTAATAATCAAATTACACTTTTCAGGTGGTTTTTAAGTCAGTTGGTTCAAGTTACCATTAAATACTGTCCTTAAACCTTAGATTTCTTCTTCAAATAAAAGAAAATCCTTTTGTTGTTAAGTTTATTTCAGAATTTGTTTTAATATGAAAAATCGATGCTTGGAATATTGGACTGAATTTCTGCCCATCTCCCCAACCCTCCTTTTTTGGGGGGTTTGCAGGGACCAAGAAAAACAAGACATCTCGGTTACAAAAGCAATAGGCAATCAACTCAATCTTTGAAGGTAAGTAACAGAATCGCAAATTTACCTTCTCTGCAGAAAAATAATAAGACTAAAATAATTTGCAGATATATCTTTAAGAGCTATCAGAACATGGATTGTTCTCACATATCCTGTAGTCATTAATTTTCTGTTAAATATTAATGTTGCTTTTGGAGCTATGAGTTTTTGTCTTCTCTGTTGCATGATAAACTTTCTAAGAATGGGAAACAAGGAAATACCACATCTTTACTCTTTGCCCTATATCCTCATCCTATCCTTGTTGATGGATAAGTAAGAGCAATTGAAATCCAGAGTAATTTCAAATACTCAAAAAACAATTCTGCAATGCTACTAATATAATTCCTATAAGGAACAGATTTAATTCCTACAAGGAATAGTATAACAGGAGTTATTCTGGTTAAAGAGACTGCAGAAGCTCTGTAGTTACGCATCTTTTAAATGGCGATGAAAGAGAAGGTTAGGAACCCTGGTCTCTGCTATTCAGTTGATAAATGACCTTGTATCATTTAACCAATCACTTTCTCCATTACCTCATCTCTTTCTCGATGATATCAACATCAAAGTAATTGAGGAAGATGTCGACGGTTTTCTGTTTTGCAAGTGGCCATGTTTGAACTCTTCCCCAAAGACCTGATGATAAGGTGATTTTTTTTGGTCAAGGATTCCTTTTGGTCAGTATCCTTCTCTAGCTGACATCCTTTGCTGCCCTAGTCCATGAACCATCTATTATATGTTTGCTTGCTCTTTTTTCTGACTAGACTTTAGGTTCATTCCTTAGTTTAAGAATAAATCTACAGCCACCTGATCCCTGACTTGTTAGTATTCTAGACTCTGCTGACAGAAATGACTTAATTTTACTATCCCCCCAGCTAGCCACATTTATGTACCAATCTGAGTTTTTCTCAGCTTGCTCAGCTGTCCAATTTCTTTCAGCTTGTCTCTTCCTAGATTTTCCCTAATCATCGTCATCTATTTTTCTGAAGGTCGTCGACTCTTTTACAAGTCCACTCTCTCCATTGTAATTTTTGAGCTTCCAATTTTCAAAAAATGTGATGGCCACAACCTCGCTATTCTTCTGAGAAGAAAGCTTCTCAGTCATTGGGACTATAAAGGGATTTATTCCAACCACATCATTTTAAAGCCAAAGAAAACGTAGTCTGTAGAGACAAGTTACCAAAATTCATCTAGTAATCAACCAAAGAGTCAAAACTAAACCCAAGGTCTTTGAACTGCAACGAGCTGGAGAATCCAGCCTTTGCCCCCACTGATACAATTCATGCTCCCAGAGGATTTAGAGATAACATCTTCACTGGGATCCATTTCCTCCAGTTGGTATAGCCCTGAGCAGGGTGGAGTTGAAATGCAAAGAATGGGATCCAAAATCTGCCACAGACATTAGCAACTAGCATTTCTACAATTCAATTACCCTCCACTTTCTGTAGTCAGAAGGGAATTATACTGAATACAGCATCTGCATATAAATTGGAAAGGGGATATTTTATTATATACAAAAACAAGGATTTTTTGTTGGTTTTGGTTGGAAAAAAATGTTCTGAATCCTCTCATCGGATATTGAATAACATAATTTTGGCAAAGGTTTTTAGCCTTTGTTGTTATTCTTCAGTTATTATTTTGCTTAACTACCACGGTCACAAATTTGTTCATGGATCCTCTCTGTGGGAGATTCCCTGGTAGGTTGGATGTTTTTTTCTCACCCTGTTTTGAAAAGTTTCTGGCCTCTTGAGATGCCTTACTTCCATCCTCTCAGAGCCTCCACCCCCATTTGCTGGTGTCCTTAGGATTGACCATCAATGCGCCCTCAGAATATTTCTCACGCCTTTACTGGGAGCAAAATTTTACTTCACCTGTCAGTGAATGACTTCTATATTACAGTCAGTTCCTGCATCTGGTGTGTGTGTTCATGGAAAATTGTTCAGAGATGAAGCTATCATTTGGTTCTCATTGGTATTCATGACTATTCCTTGGCAATTTGTAATGTTATACACTTGTATAGCATTTCACGGTTTTTACGTCATCTTGTTTGAACCTATGATATCAGCAAGGCTGATATTATCTCCATTTTATGGTTGAAGAAACTTTAGCTCAGAGAGATTCAACGATGTACCTAAAGTCACTTAGACAGGAAGTGGCAGAGTTAAGACTAGAATCCTAGCCTAATGTCAATGCTCTTCCACACCACTCTGCAAATCAAACATTAAGACTGTCTTTGTCTTATTGTCCCTTTCCCAACTTGTCTGAAAGGAAAAACACCACACTTAGAAATAGGACTAGTAAAAGACATTTTCATCCACAAAAAAAAAGGGGTTGGCTACCATGAGATCTTAGGACTGCTCCATCCAGCAAAAAAGATTCAGGACCTATTTCCAAAATTGCTAATTTAAGAGTGCCAATTATTTATACAAACAGCAAATCAGAACTGATCTCAGGTGTCTTTGACTGCTAATCACATTTCTGTGCTACAACTGATCAAAACCATGCAGTTGTCCTTGGAGTCATAGGTCTCAAATACTCAGTACTTTGCAAGGAATGTGTGGGAGTTCTGCTGTGTGACTAGCGGGCAGCATATGTGGGTGATGCCACCAAATGCCACAGAGACAGAACTTTGCACAAGTTAGAGTAAAGAACTCTGGAAAGGCCAGGTAATTTCCCTTTATGTCTGTCATCTGCCATGTGAGCTCTCAGACATGCTAGGAGACACTGAGGAATCTAAGATAGAAATAAAGAGGAAAGAAGGAACAGGGGCAGCATTGGGACTTGTTGCATATCACCAGCGCTGTCCTCAAGAGTGTGCAATTGCTTAGGACCAGGGAAGAAAACACAAATTTTCAAACATGGGATATTAAATTCATAATTGGTAAAAGTTCTCATACCCAGGAGACACTCCTGTGTATGGTATTGGGTACTCCTAATAAAGTACTGGTGACAGAGTCCTTTCATGAACTCAGTTATGTCCATACATTTCTTACTCTTCTGAATGGTCCCAACTGGACAATCCAAACATAGGGTGCCCTTCTAGCCCTCCAAGGACCCTTTCTTGGGACCCTGACAAGACCTTTCCATGACAATTTCTCCTCCTGGGGCCAATTTTTGTGAGTGAGGAGCCAGTATTTAACAGCCCAGAAAGTAGGACTGATATGTAATAATGTTTAACATGAAACCTTGCTCAAAGAGTTTTGAAAGTCTAAGGCTTAAATTTTTTGGTATCAGTGTTTTCTAACTATACTATCTATACATTTCTATCTACACTTTGTTGTTTATACTATCTACATTCTAATCTTTCTCTTCTCAGCCCTCAAAGTGATCTGTTTCCAAAATTTTTCAGTCAATTGAAATTTCATGAATATTTGTTTCCCACAATCTCCTTCCTTCAAAGTTTGCCAGCTACCCTGTTCTGTGTCTTCGTAGCCTCTCCTTACCGCGTCACAGTTAGGTCATATGGCAGGAGTAAAAAGACCCGCAATCAAGACTCCCCACCATGGTAGCTCAGAGGCAGTCCATAGTTTAAAGGAAACTAAACATCTGTGCAGATGTGTCCAGCTCCACTTCCATAGAGAAGGAATAGAATAAAAACATCTCAGACTGTGAGGCCTCCTGCTAAGACTTCTAGAGAAGACTCAAGCCAATTGAACATAGAGAAATGAATCCTTCCTTTTTTTCTTATTACATTTTTATCTGTGTTACCTTTATATTTTAAATCTAGGGCACATCTTAGATATTTAATGGAAAAGATAATTAGGTATTACTCAAGTACCACCGAGAAGGAAATGAAAGGTGTGAACGTTTAGAAATGGGTCATTAAACTGGTTGCCTCAGAACCATGTTGATCTTCATATTCAAGGCGAGAAGTAAGCAGCATCCATGACCAGCTAATAGCCAAGCTGCTTAGGAGTCAAAGAGCCCTGCAGATCATACGCCACCATTAACACTGCAACCTAAACCAGTGCATATCTTACAGAGTTGAGTTAGAAGGAGAAAAAAAGAATAATCATTTCACCTTGGCAAAAGTTGAGATATCACAGAAATAATTTCCTCCTTCCTGTTATTGTCCTGTGTCCATGAGTATGATCAAGATCTGCTATTTCCAGGTCATAATTTGAGATCAGTGTGAAGGAAAGACTCTGAACATCCCTACTTTATATTGCTATAACAATTGAAACATATTTATAGTCTGTATGATATTTCACCATGCATTGCCATTTTATTTTTTTTGTTCAGAACAATAATATCCAAGCCTAGATAACACAAGAACGCCTGACCTGTCCAGCCAGCCTTCATTACACAGGAGAGGAAGCCGGCAGCAAGCAAGAAAATGGATTCTTTTAGAAAAGATAATTCCTCAGGACTTTACTGTAACGACTTCTTAAAGAAGGAGATAGAGTTTGTGGACAAGTTCAAACATTTGTTTTCTAGGCTGTAAACAAGAAAAACATTGGTCAAAAGCAAAACCATCACAGTTTTCATTTTATGTACATGGAGTTCCCCAATCACTAACTTGAGTCTTTTGTACCCTGCCCCGGGGTTAGGTCAACAACTTCTGCCATTTCCGCAAATGCACTTGTTTCAGGGATTCTCAATCTTATGGTCTGATTCTCTACACTTGGAATCTGTCTCCATATAGCATGGATTAATTTAGCTTCCTAATGACTGGAAGTAATAAGTGAAGTTTGCATGGAGTACCTAGTTGGGAGCTTTTAAACTTGACTACACTTAGCTCAAATTCAGCCAAAATAGTCTCACCTTCCAGCTTGTGATACTAGGCACAAAATCTCATGGATAGAGAGTGCCAAAGGGCCAAGAATTTTTCAATTAAATAACCTGATAGAGCTACCTTTTTTTAACCATTCTGACTTCTTATTCATTAGCTATCTTATTCTATACCTATCAAGAGTATAGAAGTTGAAGAAATAATGAAATATGCTATTTTTAAATATATATAAAATATATTTTTATATATATAAATAAAATATGTAAAAATATTTTTAAAAATAAAGTAAAATAACCTAAAAATCCATCAATGGTGACCTGTGAGTTTTGTTTTATTAGATCTAAACACCAAGAGCTAAAATGTTCTATGTTTTTCTAAAGATTGGCACCTGAGCTAACAACTGTTGCCAATCTTCCTTTTTTTAAATTGCTTTCTCTCCCCAAATCCCCCCTTCTGGGCTGTATACTTTAGATGTGGGTCCTTCAAGTTCTGGCATGTGGGACGCCACCTCAACACGGCCTGATGAGTGGTGCCATGTCCACGCCCAGGATCCGAACCAGCGAAACCCTGGGCTGCCAAAGAGGAGCACGCGATCTTAACCACTGGGCCATGGGGCTGGTCCCTAAAAATGCTCTATTTTTAAAAAGTCATGTGCCAAGGGACTCAAACATATACTTGTATACCAGTGTTCATAGCAGCATTATACACAAATTAGCCAAAAGGTGGAAAGAACCCAAGTGTCCATCAACAGATGAATGGATTTTAAAAATGTAATATTTAAAAATGTAGTATATATAATAGAATATTGTTTATCCATAAAACCAAATCCTAACATATGCTACAATGTGGATTAACCTTGAAAACATTATGCTAAGTGAAATAAGCCAGATACAAAGGGACAATTATTCTATGATGTCAATTATTTGAAGTACCTAGAGTAGACAAATTCATAGAAATGGAAAGAATAATAGAGTTTACCAGGGGCTAGGGGTAAGGGGAATCGGAAGTTGTCTAATTGGTACATAATCTCTGTTCAGGATGATGCAAAGGTTCTAGTTATAGAGAATTATGATGGTTACACAATATTGTGAATGTACTTAACGCCACTGAATTGTACACTTAAAAGTAGTTAAAAAGGTAAAAAAAAAAAAACCTCTAATAAAATCTGACTAGTATTTCCAAGACAAAAAAAAAAAAGTCATATGCCAGTCTAAAGCATCTGAGAAGACATACATTGCTTGACAAAATAATTTGTCCTATACTTTTTGGTTTGATATAAAAAGGATTCACATTAACTCCCGCATTACGATGCAGCATAAATATTTTCTAGTCACAAGGCCACACTGATCACATTATTTCCTCATTTTTTGGACACTTAGGCGTAGACTTGTGCATTTTCAGAAAACTGTCAATAACACCTTATGCCACTTTGAACCATTAAGTATGATCTTTGAATCACACGTTGGCTAAATTGTGTAGGCTGTTCTGTCTTTTTCTTGGTTACTATAGAAACTGCAAAGTCATGGTGTTGTGAGGAGATGACAAGGGCATCTGAAAGTGTACAATAAAAGTTATTTCATGGTTTATAATTTCTTCCAGCTGTCTCCATTTGTGATTATCACGTTCACTCTGGGAGTATAAACATACAACCAAAAGGGCTCTGGTAACTACAGCCAAGAACGATCTCACCCATGACAGACTCGCTCCGAACCCCTTTCCCTCAAAGATTTATAACAGAAACACACAAAACAAGTGACACGTAAAGTTCAGGTGTTTCCAATTATTTCCCTCCTATGAGCTGAGCCTTCCTAAATCCAAAACATGTTGCAGCTCAAATCGGTTTCCTTATATTTGAACATTGTGTCATTTCAGGAGAATTTCATCTACATATCTCTGATTCACTGACACTTCATCAATAACATAATGCATCTCCTCTGAGCTCTTCTACATGATCATTCCCTCTCTGGGTGGTCGAAAATATGGTACATTTAAGTATTGCTTACTTTTGTGAAACGCACACTTAGAAAGTGTATAACCTTTTGCCCTTGCAGGAAAAAGAGAAATAAATGCTCAGTGCCAGGATTTGTAGCCGATTCCTTGTCAGTTACATCACCACAGAGTGTTCTAGCACAATGCCTCAGCTATCTTCCTGCTCAAGGACTGTCAGTCTCTCTCTACAATGGCGTAGATGGAGGAAGACAGACCCATCCTTGCTGGTATGAATCTTTAACTGCCTCAATGTTAATACTCAGGCTAAACTATTCAGGGATTACAAAGAAAGAGCATTGTATTTTCCTAAGTTTTGGAAATTTAGGAATACAAAGTTGATGGATCCTTTAGGCTATGGCAACCTTAGATAGCAGTGAGCTTTACCTTATGGTCCTAGAAATGTGCTAGTTCATTACTGCCTCTGCAGGTGAATGGCAGCACTCTGCTTATAATTACCTTACAGGAATTGTGAGGATTATTTCATAAAGTATTTCAATAAGGAGAAGTGTTAAATAATATTCACTGTTTAGGGAAACAAATTCATCTACAGATGGATGAACTAGATGAATTACAATGAAGAGGAAATTAAAAACTTTACCTATAGCTGAATACTCTCCAAAATAGGTGAACACTTTAAGCCCGCTCTCACTCGCTCTCTTTCAACACACACACACACACACACACACACACACACTCACTCACTCACTCTTTATGATTTTGGCAGGAAACAGTGAAAGATATTGTGAAAGGATAAACATTGTTCTGATGATGAAGTGTTTTTGGTTAATTGCCAATGAGCTTTGAAGAGGAATCCAAATTTTCAGAACAGCATCAGGGCTAGAGTTCTTTCAAGGGATAAACTCCTACTACTCTTGGCACTTTATCCCGAGTCCAAGTGGGGGAGACATTAGAATCTAACCATCTGAGTACGTTTAATGTTTAGTAACAATATGACTTTGTGCTCAAGATAATATAAATGGTTACCACTCAAGTTATCTATGTTTATGAAAATACTGTCTTGAAATATATCTGTATAGATATATTCATATTCTTTGAAATATGTTATAATACAAATCAGATAAAAGTAGAAATTTCATTTCAGTTTTAGAAGAGTTTTACTTTCCTAACATTTTACTTTCTTAGACTAAAGACAGTTTCAGTGTGTTGAATGCTGTGAAATCACCAGCCTGTTGTTTATATTTACCACAGTATGAGAAGAGGTAGAACTTGTGGAACTGTTTGAAAGCAGTATTGTCTATTCTAAATAGGTTGTGTGTGTGTCTGTATTGTGGTCCTGAGAAAGAGGGTAAAAGGTTTCTCTGAGTGGTCAATATGGTCATCAATTGCAAAGGTGAGTAATAATACTCTTCTCTACCTTCTACCTGCATCACACATTATATTTCACATTAGTCAACTAATAATTAATTTGAGTTCAGGTCTAGAAAGAGGAACACAGTAACCATGAGCAGAAATACCATAGGAACTGTTTTTCAAGTTCATGTCTCATACTCTGCTCTGCAGAAAACGGGAACTACAAGGGACTCAGGGATGGGTGTGGGTGGGGAAGATATCCACTCCCAAGACATCTCATTCACATGGCAGGCAAATGGATGCTGACTGTGTGTTCATGTCCACACTGGTCTCTCTAGAAGGCAGTTTGGGCTCCCTCACACAAAGTGTCTGGGTTCCAAGAGTGAATGGCCTAAGAAACAGGAAGTGGAAGCTATCAGTTTCTTAAGATCTGGACACAGAAACTGGCACAGCATCACTCTGCCATATACTATTAGTCAAGCAGTTACAGAGCCTAGATTCAAGGAGAGGGGACATAGACCCCACTTCTCCATAGGAGGCCTGTCAAAGAATTCTGTGCCCTTGTTTTAAAACCAGGGGGCCAGCCCAGCAGCGTAGCAGTGGTTTGCTCACTCCACTTCGGCAGCCTGGGGTTCAGCTCTCGGGCACAGACCTACACACCGCTCATCAAACCACGCTGTGGTGGAGTCCCACATACAAAATAGAGGAAGATTGGCACAGATGTTAGCTCAGGGACATGCTTCCTCACCCCCCCCCCCAAAAAAAATGGAATTGCTGGAGGATATGGTAATTCCATGCGATTTAAAACCATCACTATGTGTAAATCAGCAAGAAAATGCATACTGCTTTTCAACTTGATGTTGCCTTCTTTACTCACCTGGGAATATGTGCCCCAATCTTGGAAAATAAAGCATCCCGCCAAGTTTAGTTGGTGGACCCGTTGAATCCTGATATTTCAAAGAATCACAACAAAACAGGCAAGAAACTGTGGCCTCCTTTATTTGGGATATATTGTGAGTTTAATTGAAGCAAGGTAAATCAGTTTGAAATATTGCTCTGAAGCAATAATTGGCACTAGAGATTATAAATTACCTCTTAATTTCTTGCATCATATTTCCAGGCCCCCTCAACATCTTTTCCTCTTCCTTAAATCACCAAAATCTATGTGGATTAGCTGGAGATATATCTTGAAGGGCTTGTAGTTGTCTGTTTAGTTTGTATTTTGCAAGTTTATTTTTCCCTGTTGTGCATTCTTAATCACCAGATATTTTTTGAGCATCTATTATACACTAAGCACTGGAATTTTAGAAATACATGGTTTGTGCCTTTGTGGGAGTCATAAGTGGGGAACATACTTGCCACAAAATAAAGAATCAAAAAAGTACTATAATACAGCTGAATACAAAATCCTGTGGGTTCTTCAGAGAATAAAGAATTCCAGATGGGTGCCATGGAGTTGATGTTAAGAGACAGGTTAAGATGCTTCAGGCAAATGGAGAAAAGGAAAGCTGATCAGAACCTGCAGGAAATTATTGGAAGGCACCAGATAGTTTTAAGAATTGGTCATTTATATTGGTGACTTTAGAATGTGGAATGAAAGAAGGAACAAGGAGATGAGGCTAGTAAGGTAGATTGGGCCAAATCATGAGCTTTGTGTCCTGAGCCCAGTGAGTGAACTTGCTTCCATACATTACAGAAGGGAAATAGTAATTCCACACTCTCCTTTGGAATCCGACAGTACATTAGATAGTGAGAGATGGAGATAGAATTTGTTCCATATAATATGGTGGATACTTTTCTAAGAAACCTCAACTTTTCCAAACTTGCTTTTTATAAGGCTTTCTTTAAGAAAAAAAAGTTTAAATGAGAAAAAAATATGGAATAGAGCATTTCTAGCTACATATATATTGTTTTAA